GGGTTACACACATACCCAACCAGCAAGCACTCAGACAGGCATGCAACCCAGCAGGCACGCACACACACACACATCCGGCAAGCACTCAGACAGGCATGCACACACACACATCCGGCAAGCACTCAGACAGGCATGCAATCCAGCAGGCACTCACACACACAGACTTGGGACCACAGCAGAATGCGGGAATCACAGCAAGGCATTCATTCCATTGCCAAATCCCAGAAATCAGCAGTGTTCTCAGTCTGTGTTTTGGGCGGGTCATTACATTACTCCCCTCTCGAGAGCGAGGTCCCTTCGAGCGCATAACTCAGTCAGAGTCGGCACAGAAGGCGTCATAGGCATAGATCAAAAAGAGAGTGTTAGTGAGTCCGAACGGAGTGATTTTTGCAGCAAGCTTAGTGGTCTGTCCGTCAACAATCTGTCGTTCATATGCGTTCACAACACGTGGAGCACTCTTTATCAGTTCTTTCCGGTCGATCCAGAAGAATTCGTTCAACGGGTGGTAGAGGAAATGAACTTTGTACTGTCTGTTCCTTCCTCTCCCCTCGTGAGAAACGATTCTGTCAATCTCATGGCCGCCGTCAATAGGGCGAGGTATCATAGGATCATGGAAGGGAAAAGTCTCATCATCAATGTGTGGGAACAGTTTGGAGGCATGGAAGACTGGATACGTGCACAGATGAGGAGGCACGTCAATCACATACGAAGGACCGAAATCATCCCCGGCTACCTGCAGAATCTGCCAAGGGCCGTAGTACAGTGGAAGAAGCTTCCGTGATATGCCCTCTTCATCAGAAAACTCAGACATTTTGACCCAAACATAATCCCCTACTTTGAACTTTTCTTCTTTGCTCCGCTTATTGGCATGTTTGATCATGGCATGCTGGCGGTTGTTCATAGCTGCTGTAGCAGCTTTGAGCAAGCGTGCGTACTTGGCATTGTAGTCAGGCATGCTGGGCATCAGACCAGGTGACCGTTCAGGGAACAGATAGGAGAGGGGATTACGCATCGGCCATCCATACTGCAATTGGTTTGGTGTCACACCAGTCGCAGAGTGAATGGAGTTGTTGTACAGCCCCTTCACTTTGTGCAATTCCTTGTCCCACGTGTTCTGATCTGGAACAATTAGTGCGCAAAGCAATTGGATGACAGTGTGGTTGATCTCCTCAGCCAATCCGTTGGCTTCGGGGTGACGACCATAAGTCCTGTTCAGTTTGATGTCGTAGATCTGAGATGTGAAGTCTTTCCAATCTTTGCTGATGAATCTGGTGTCCTGATCACTCACAATAGTTTTCAGGACGCCGGACTGCAGAATGTACTGCTGATGGAATTCTTCTATGACAAGTTTAGTCGGGGCGTGAGGAGGGAGAGGAATCAAGTTCAGAAATTTGGAGAAGCGGTCCACAATGACCATGACTTGTGAATTCCCAGCCTCACTCACCTTTCCCTCTTGATTCGGTGTTGTACGTACTTTCTTGAAGATACACTAATGCCTTGACCTTTGACTCCAAACCGAGCCTCCCACTTCTCCCCCCCCCCCCCCCCGCAACATTACCCCCTTTCCTACGGTCTTGAGATAGTAGCATTGAATTGACTGGCCCCAGGTAATTCAGAATTATTTCTTGATGCTTTCAAAGGTTTGAACTAAGGTCTGCAGTTGAACAGTTCATGTGTGTACTCACTGAGCTAGGCTGGTTTGTACCAACCCGAGCCTTTCACTCTACTTTTTCCACCCTTGAATCCTTTTCCGTTCCTTTGAGCCCACCTTGAACTTTGTAATATACGACCTTTGACTGCAGAAAGGAAAAAGAGAAAACAAAATACCAGAAGAGTGACAAAGTAACCATGAATCAAGCAGATATTTTTTTCACTGTGGTGAATTCCTGGAGGGAAAACGAAGCTCCATACGGGAAAGAGATTTTTCAATTTGCAGGCCATGGTGGTCAGCTAGGGAGAAAACTCATGTGTGCCAATGCAGAGAAATACTGCTGTGGCCAATGCAGTGCACTCGGGTCCTGGAAAGTCGTTCCCAGGTTTAGTACCACGAGACCCCTCCAGCCCTTCTCTTTTGTCACAATTTCTTACACCTTGACGGCCAGATGTCAGCTTCAGGCGCGTACTTGAACTCGGTCCCCGCAGCACTGGCGAGTCTCTTTGTAGAACTTCGAAAACAGCTGTAGGTTGAGCCTCAAAAGTTTTTACGCGGATCCCGAGGCCCTTAACTTACAAATGGAGCCTGAAAAGTTCTTACGGGGATCCCGAGGCTCTTAACTTACAAATGGAGCGTCAAAAGTTTTTGCGTGTATACCCGGGCTCTTATCTTACGAATGGGAAGTCGGCACAATACGACTGTGGAGTACAAGCCTTATTTGCGTTCTTCTCCTCAAACAGCTGGCTTACACTGGCATGCTCCTCTGAAGTTTGTGAAATGTCCCTGATGTCAGTTGGGCCTGACATTGTTCAGTCCGCCCCTGTGGGTACTGAACTTTTATGGATGCCCCGCTACATACGGTCATTCAGATCTTGGACGAAAATTTGCGATTTGCCCCTATTAGTACCAGACATGCCTGTTGGAGGGGAATGCCAGTATAAGCCAGTATAAGCCGGCTGTTTGAGGGGCAGAATGCAAAAAACGCATTTTTTGTAGGGCCTAACAACGAAATTCCCCAAAGTTTCGGAACAGGGAAAAAAGCAAAGCGAAGTAGAATTAAAAAATGCAAGAGGAACGCTATCTCCCCTTTCTTCCCTTTCCATCTTACCTCCGGGACAGGAGGACAGAAAACGGACGAGGAAGGTGGAAAAAGGAAGGCGAG